AAATGTGTATTTATATACATCTGGCTACAAAATCACTAACAGAATGAATTCTACTAGTACACTGAGTTTAGAAATGACTCCATCTCTGTCTAGTATAGAAGTACAGAATAGGGTAGTACTGAGGCTGGTACATCTTGGCATTTGACATTACAAGAATAAATTCCTTTAAAAATTTTAAAATAGGCTGTTTCCAAGATAATTTGACAAAAGAAGAGAAAAGAAAATCCAAATTGTCCTATATCTATTAAAGAAATTAAAAACCCTCCTAAACAAAAAGCACAAGGCCAGATGGCTTCATTGGTAAAATTTTCCCAGCACTTAAGGAAGAACAACCGATTTTATATTAACTCCTTCAGAAAACAAAAAAAAAAAGAAGGAATACTTCCCAACTCATTTCAGAAGGCCAGAATAATCTTGTTTTACAAGCTTAACAAGAATATTACAATAAAAAAATCACAATCCAACACCGCTGATGAAAAGACACAAAAATCAGACACAAAATATTACCAATTAAACCAAGCAATATATACAAGGATAACACATCATGACTAAGTGGAATTTGTTCTAGAAAAGCAAGAATGGTTTAATATACAAGCAATCTGTGTAAATCAGCACAATAACAGGTTGAAGGAGAAAAAAGTAATCATCTCAGTTGATACAGAAAAATTGTGGTAATACTGAATACCTGTTCATGATAAAATCTCTCAGAAAACTAGAAATACAGGAGAATATTCTTTGTAAAGGATACCTCTGAAACCCCATAATTAGCATAATATGTACTGCTGTAATGCTGAAAGAAATCTCCCTGAGGTCAGGAAGAAAAGGAGGATGTCACTGTCATCAACTATATTTAGCATTGCACTGAAGAGGCCCTGCCAGTGTAAGAAGACACAAAAAAGACTAATAACTATATAAGATATTAGAAAAGGAAAAAAATCCATTATTCACAGATCACTTGACTGTATAAACAGAAAATTAAAAAGAACTTGCAAACTATTAGAAATAGTAAATGAACTAAGATTGCTGGACACAAGATCAAAGAACTTCCTCTAAAACAGACCGTATCTTAGGCCATAAAATGTGCTTAAATAAAAACAAAGAAAATAGTCCGCTGCATACCACTGGATCAATTAATTCTACCAGGGCACCAGTTATTACAATGACCAGATCTTAGCTGAGCAGTAGTGAGTCAAATAAGTCTTGATATATATTTGTAAAAGAATATACAGAAAATAAGCTATTACTCTACTCTTTCTTTACATTAGGATCACTTAACTGTTGCTTATATCATACAGGAAATGTACAAAATATTTTAGGCAGAAAATATCAAGAAATTTCGTTAAATCAGAGAGATACAAAAGCCTGAAGAGATATGGGAATGGCTTAGGTCCAAAATGCCAAAAATGGAGCCAGAAGCAATGACATAATCTTTAAACAATTTTAAAGAGCCAAGCTCTCTTTCCCTAATGGGAGTCATAATACCGCAGATATACTTGCATTCTTGTTTCCATACAGTAATTTGATTTTGAAGTACTTTCAAAAAGTGAATGCAAAAAACCTAGTAAATAGAATATTGTAAGTAACTGTTTCTAATCATAAGTGTCAGGTGTATTTTTCTTAAACATATGAAGGCTTTGATCAGCAAGTTAAAACTACGGAAAAATGTAGTTACCCCAAATTTGCTTAAATGGAACCTAAACCTCGGTTTGATTCATTTATTGAAAAAGCTTAGCCTGAAAATACTCCATGGCTCAATTTTCTTGTTCAATTTCAAATAATGAATTAATTTTAACAGAGGCAAAATGTTTGTAGAGTGCACAATTTAAATAGGTTATGGAAAATCAACAGTACTCAAAGTATAGCTATGAAGATGACACACAACAGGACAAGAAGGAAATTAGGTCATCAATGAAAACATTAGCTATTTGTGGAATTCTGAATTGAGAGGAGAGTCTCCTGGTCTTAGGAAAGGCTAGGGAAGAAAAGGCATGTCCCTGAATACTGTGGTATCTAACAGTACTGCAATGTTAGAATGTTCTTCTCTAGGGCAGCTTTTTCTCTTCCACTCTAGTAGTACAACAGCGAGAATCAAATGCTTTTTATAGGATCCACTAAGTTATCCAAAGGACAGCAAATATGTAAGTTTGCTCAATGACTAAACCTAAATATCAAAGAAAATGTGTCATTTCAGCTCTTGATTCCTTTCTCAAAGCCAGCTTCTGAAATAACCAGTCCCTACGATTTTCCTGGGTTTGCAGAGGAATCTGTTTGTGTGAATTTCCTCCTCCACTACACTGATAGAAACAGAGAAGACTAAAAGTGCATTTTATATTCCTCTTCCCAGCACAACACTAGACCTTGATCCCCAGCACCAAAATAAAAACAAAACAAAAACCAAAACCAAAAAAAACAGTTGTTACATTAAACTGTAACTACTCCTGTCCACATTATTTTTTTTTTCTCAGTTAAGGATACTTATGATCGAAGTTGTACCAAATCCGGAAGAGCCAAGCACTCTCTGCTTTAGTAGTTCTCCTTTCATTTTCAGGAACACCCTGCAGACAGAGAATACATAAATCAATACATATACAAAGATTTCAATATGGTCCTTGGAGTCATTCCTTTGTAGAATCAGAAACAAACCCTATGTAAAGATCCTCTCCAACACCGGGAACATTAGAAATTTAACAGCTTGCATACTGCAGCTTTGCAGTAAGAAACTGAAGTGTTTTTCTGAACATCTCTGTTACTCAGCTGGCCTACTAATTTGTTATTGTCATTTAAAAAGTCAACGCGGGATAATTCACCTTCAAAATCCAAAAGATTTACACCTCTGATGCAAAAAGCACCTTAAACAGAAAACATCACATCAACATCCTTATGTTTGCCAGGTTACTGGTTGCAAAAGTAACTGGCATTTTCAAAGTTGCTACTATGTTCTTAACACACCAGCAAAACAAAAACAAGTAGGAAAATTCCATGGTGAGCCTGACTGGTTAGGAGGGAAAATTAACAGCAAGCAGGCATCTTCTAAAATAGCTTCCAAAAGTATAAACTGTGCCCTTATTTGTAATATGCTAGGGTCAGGAGTAGGGCAGTTAGTCCTAGCATGTTGACATTAACTAGTATGGATAAATCTTCTTTCCTTTCTGGGTCTGAATTTCTCTTTGTATAAAATGTGAGCAGTAGAGAGTCTCTTAACACCCTTTCCAGCAGTAATATTTATGGTCCCATGATTTTCTAGGAGCAGACTTTAGATTTTGGGTTTTAGCTCCTTCCTAGCCTCCATAATCCTCAATATGTATCAAAACATCCACAAATTATATAAATATATAAAAATGTTCTCTCCTCTGTGGCAAAAGCCCAGGATGTCCCACAGATAAGAAAACTGTCACCCTTGATAACTACATATGGGCTTATAAGAAAAGGACACCTTCTCGATTTCCTTCCACATCATTAGGTTTGCATGGCTCCACTTCTTATTTTTATTTTGGTGCTAGGATGAAACTCAGGGGCCTTGTGCATGCTAGGCACATGTCCTACCACTGAGTTACACCTCCAGCCTGTTGTCTTAATTGCTTTTGTTTTTGTGGTACTGGGGATTGAACCCAGGGCCTTCATACTGAGCATTTACATCCCCCAGGCCATTTTAAAATTTGAGACATATTTTAAATTTATAAATGTATTTATTTAGTTTTGTCTTCATTTCTGGAAGAGCAGTTCATCTACCCATTTCACCATCCCTCCACCACGTTAACGCCTACAGATCCAACCTCTACACACTCCATACTTACTATTACGCCCCTCTGTGCATTCAAAATGAGTGAGTAAACAATATATCCAAGACATCTACAGAGTTTTGAAGGGAAGGGAAGATTATTTTTTTATGTATCAAAGCTGGCAGTCGTCTACCTGGCTCTCTCCCTGTCACTCCAATTGCATTTCTACTCCGTGGTAACAGAAGTGACAATGCTGGTAGAGACTTAGGCCAGGAGTGATTATAAACACCCACCATAGGAGCCATTTGCTGACTTTATTCTTGTTTTAATACAGGGTGGAGGCACTGAGCAACTGTTACCCCTTGGGCACCACCCTAGCAGCCTGGCATGACGTGAACTTATCCTGCCTGCTCTATCCAAGTATTTATTTCAAGGCCAAGGTTGTGACCACAAAAGAGGCAAATACTCGGTATCTCACATGCACACATATGCTCATTAATCAACAGCTAACAAAATTAGCATTTAGGAAATAAATGTGATAAAGCATTTTCGCTGTGGTTGTTAACCACACCCTGAAGAAAAATATACTAGGGCTTGTTTCAGACAAGAACAAGAATTGTGTTTTGACGAAATGCTTTCTGCCTTCAAAGACCTAATTTCTGTGACTTCTGAGCTAATGTGTAGCACAGCGTCACATATGCAGTGGTGCTCAGAAGCCATTACAAAGTGGATGGAAAATACCAGAAAAGGGTGGTCGGTCTAGAGAGGGCAGGCAGTTACACTGTGCTCAGTCTGACGGGCTGGAGTTCATAGGAACAACTGAGAAATTGACACACGGAAGGAAGGAAGCGAGGAAATGCGGCCAAGGCTGAGGCACAGGGTAAGAAAGTGCACTCCCCGAGCAGGCAGGGAGGGCTGGTTCAAGATTCAAAAGCAGCTCGGCAGCTCTCAAGGGCAGCTGCTGGTCATCCAACTTGAAAGTTACACAGGAAGAGCAGCTGGAGCGGGGCTGACATCAGAGACGGGCCTTCGTGCGCAAACCAGAGTGGAAAAAAGCTCCCTGTGCCAGAGCAGTCACTTGAAAACCCAGGAGTGCTAAAGAGACTTCTCTCCTCTGTGGCAAAAGCTCACGATGTCCCACAGATAGGAAAACTGTCACCCTTGATAACTACACCGCCTGAAATGTGGTTCTGCCTCTATATAGAGCAGTGAGAAAAGCTAGGAGTGAAGTCAGTTAGAGGCAGAGGCAGACAGAAAAGATCTAAACAGCGGCATGAAGTCTGTAAGAGGTTGTTTTCTTTCTAAATGACTGCACATTCGACAGAGATGCCAGGGACAACACACATGCATATTTACCAAATGTTCTTGGTCTGAATCAACACCAACCCTACAGGAAAAAACACAAAGAGCAAATGAGATTTTGAAGCCAAGAAAAGTCTAGTCACATATGTACATTGTCAGGCAGCAATTTTTCTCAGCACAGAAGCTATGGAATGGTTAATGTTTTCTTGCCTCTCTACCTTCGGTTGTTGATGTAAAGTTTTTGCCTCCTACCACTTTCCTTAGCAACAGCTTGGATTCTAAGGCAAGCAGAGCGAATGAGTCTGTTCCTACAATCCCACTTACCCATTTCAGTAAAATAGCATTTCTTCTCTGAATAGAAGTCCACTCTTAAGCACAGTTAGGGAGAGCAACAATACCCCGGTTGCTGAGTAAGAATTACTGGAAGGTTCTAAAAAACAGGCCGGCACACAATGCAATTCCAGGAGGGAGTTGGATGTTTTTGGACCTTACAGCTCTCAGGGCAACACTCTATTATGATGATGGAAGAAAGGGTCCAATTACAGTGTTTTCATAGGCTAATGGGTAGCCCTGGGTCTTCACAATCTTTTTTACATGCATTAAAAATTCCTGCTTTGGGTAACTCGGGGAAACAGCCTCATTAAGAAATTCTATGATTCTTCTCTAGCCCCTAACAGGAGCCCCGCACTTCTGGTTTCTTCAGTGCCCCTCTCCTTGCAGGCCCTATTGTGACTCATGGGGCCTTGTCGTGTAAGGTTTCCCAGCTGCCAGCTTCTCCCCAGAGTCAGCTGGCTAAAGCACAGAGCTCACTGGGTCGCTCCTTCACATAGGACTCTGAGAGCAGCTTACAATGCAGAGGGTCAAGAGTAAAGATTTTGCATGACAAAACTTTGTGTGGCATTCAAGACCCGGCAAACTAGGGGCCACCCCTCACCCACCTGCTTCTCCGCCTTCATTCCCTTCTACACGCTCACCTGTGGCTCTCATGAATCCCAGTCCTCCCCTGGTCCCTGACTTTGCTCAGGCTGCTCCCTCTAGCTGAAATGTGCTTTCCCCCACTTCCCCAGTCATTTGTTAAGTGCCCCAGTAACTGTTCTATGACCCCTTCACAAGCAGAATTATTTTGTCCTCTGCTTTGGCAGCACTTCCAAGCCCTTTATTTTATACTTAGCACAGCAGAGTATAGTTATTTGCCTGTCATTCTCCTGAAAAGACTGTGAGCTCCTTGAGGGTTAAAGTCCGTGGCTCAATTCATCTCTGTATCCCCAGAATCTAGCACAGTGCCTAACACACCACAGGTGCTCGAATGTTTATCCAGTGAGTTAACTACTACAGACAACACAGACAAAATAGCAGTATGAGAAGCTGTAACCAAGGCGCATAACACTCGAGGGAGGAAAATAATGCAAGACCACATCTGGAAGGCAAGGGAGTCATGGGCAAGTACTTGAAAGCAGATGTCTAACACCAGATTCATAATTCAAAGAAAAGCACACTGTTATTTTGTTAAAAATGGCCAGATGCTGTTCAATGTCTTCTTAGTTACGTTAGACATGAACCACATTTATGTGCCTCCAGCGACATCTAGTGGTCTTCCAGATAGTGCATTTGTAACACTCAGTAAAATACCAGAAGCCAATGTCATAAGCATTTATAGAACACTTATTATTTGCCAAGCACTATACTAGGCACAGGACATAGTCAGGAATTAAACACAGCCCCTTCCTTCAGGGATCTCACAGACTCGTGGAGGAAACAGACACAACTACAGCAGAATCCCTTAAGGGTTTGCTGTCGGGGAGTACTGGGTTAAAAATCTATGGGAGGGCTGGGGAATTAACTCAGCATTACCTTCCTGTCCGTCACACAGAGTCTCTGCACGGATTAAATGAGAAAAGGTACTGAAAGCTGTTCAGAGTGCCTGATGGATCATCAACACTCAGTGGTAGCTGTTAGCCCACACTGTATTATTACACGGCTGAAGAAAATAAGGGCCATAACAGAGAGACTCAATGTTATGCAAGCAGAGTGGCTCCAAGACGAACTGGGAGAAAAGGAGGTACTTTGTGTCACTCATTGGGAGCAAAAGCCAATTCCAGGCACGGGGGACAGTATGAGCAAAGGCTCAGAGACACAGACATGCAACACATGTGTGGTAAATGAAAGGGAACTGAAAGTCACTGCCACGGATTATGTGAAAGGGCACAGGAATAGCTGGCTGACTGATTTGCTGAGGACGCATCCAGCACAGGACAGCTAATGTGATACTTTTTCACTGTAAATGGGAACACGGCACTTCTTTGCTTAAACAGCCTCCAACATTCCCAATGGCATTTTAAAATGCAAACTCCTCACTGTATCCTACAAGACCCTAAAGCAGTCGTCTACTGACCATAGCCCAGGCGCCACAGGATCACCTCTCCTATTTTTGTAAACAGGCTTTCTTGGAACAGGGCTGCCCAGATTGAATGGCACACTATCCAGGTGAGTAGCCGAGACACAAACTCAAGACCTACCCAGCCGAAAATGTTTACTCTCTCACCCTTAATAGGAAAAGTTTGCAGACCGCTGTCTCATAGGATCAGTATATGAGCTGTTGTTATTTACTAAACAGGCCAAGTTTGTTCCTGCCTCAGGGTCTTTGCACTTGCTTTCCCCTCTGCCTGGACTGAATAAATGTTTAACTAGCAGTATCTTGTCACTTAGGTAGGCTGAGGTCAAAGATGATCTCTGAGACCTTCCCTGGATCCTTCTTCTAACTACACAGCCATTCCATCACTATATCGAACATTGTCTGACTGCCACCACGACACACTTAACATCATCTAAATTTGTCATGTTCATTTATTTATTTACTAGTTTACTGTCTGTCTTTTCCCACTGAAGTACAGACTTTATGTGACCAGGAAACTTTTCCATCTTCTTACTAAGACTGGAGCTCCCATTTGACCCAGCTATCCCTCTGCTGGGTATCTTTCCAAAAGAATTAGAAGAATCTTTTTTAATTTTTCACAACAGAGAAACTATTTGGTATTTACACATGTGTGACTTATTTATTTCACTTAGGAGTATATCTTCAATATGTATCCATTTTCCTATGAATGAATCTAATTTCTCATTCTTTATGGGAAGGGGAATAAGAGAAAGAGAAAAATACGAGGAAATGTAAAAATGGAATTGAAGTGTTTGTAGGTGGGGAGGGGAGGAGGGGGTGAAGAGAGGGCGGGGACAAGGGGAAAAAATGAGAACCAAGACCTGTCATGTGAAGGTACAAGATCCCAGTGATGAATGTAACTGTACTGTGTACCTAGAATGCACCAATAAATTCAATTTAAATTAAAAAATTAAAAGAATCATATCACAGTGATATATGCTCACCAGTGTTTATAGCAGCACAGTTTGTAATAGCTAAAACTTGGAAACAGCCCAATTACCCATCGGTTAGAGACTGCATAAAGAACATATGGCTTTTCTATAAAATGGAATATTACTCAGCCATAAAGAATGAGAATGCAGAGTCATTCATAGGAAAATGGATACATATTGAAGATATACTCCTGAGTGAAATAAATAAGTCACATGTGTGTAAATACCGAATAGTTTCTCTGGCGTGAAAAACTAAAAGTGTAATAAGATCCAAATGGTATAAATGACAATGTGAAATAGGAAGAAAAGGGCTAAAGGTGTAGGGGACGTGGGAAGTGTAGGGGAAAGGAAATAAGGGACAAGACAAAATATGAGAAAAGGAAAAAAATGGAAATAAAGTGTTTGTAAATGGGGAGCGGGGGAGGGGGTGAAGGGAGGGCAGGGACAAGGGGAAAAAGTGAGAACCAAGACCTGTCATGTAAAGGTACAAGACCCCAATGATGAATGTAACTGTACTGTAGACCTAAAAGGTACCAATAAACTCAATGAGAGGAAAAAGAAAAGAAAAGAAAGGCATAATAGAATGAGAACCATGGAGGACAGAGGCTTTAAAATGTGAAATACCGTTGTCTCTGGTGAGCCCTATGTACCGTGGAAGCTTGGTAGCTTTTAACATCTATTAAGTTGCAGCCAAACACAGAAGTAAAATCCACAAAGCTTTCAGCAACACAGGCTGCTGTATCCATGGAAACAAGCACACAACTCTTGAGATACAAGGGAGCTTTCAAATTGAATACACGAACCAGTACACATTGAAGACTAAGAGCTTGTGATCTTGGCCTCGTGTTGTTGGGTTAGAAACAGTGCTCCTCACAAAGATGAGAAAGAGTGATACTATCTGGTATAGATCAGAAGAGAGGAAAACTGGACTGTCTTATACACTGCAGCTGGATCCAACCTGGCGACAGGAGCAAAAGCCTTAAATCCATGCATATGCTCTTGACTAAGTAATCCCACTGCTAGGAACGCATCTTGAGGAACCGATTTCACAAGTGCACGGTGGTGTACACATTTAAGGTCATTCACATTGTTAACAGTAATGCTAATTGCAAAAACCTCAATGGTTTTTTTGGGGGGTTGTTGTTTGCTTTTTTTGAGACAGGTTCTCACTATGTAGTTAAGACTGACCTGGAACCCACTATGTAGCTCAGGCTGGTATCAAACTCACAGCGATCCTCCTGCCTCAGCCTCCCTAGTGCTGGGATTACAGGCGTCCGACACCACGCCCAGCTAAACCTCAATTGGTAATAGCAAAATATTACCATAAATATTTTGGTATTATATCACCAAAATATAAAAGTCTAACAATAGGAATTTGTTTAACTAAATCAGGATATATGCAGCCACTCAAATAATAATAATGTAAATATATACTGCCCATGCTATATTACGTTTAAAAACAATCTATAAAAGTACCTTCAGTGTTACTCCTTTTTGTTAAAAATAGATATAAAGCATAGCAGAACATCTGGGAAGATATTCTTCAAAGTGTTCATGATTTGTTTTTTTGTTTGTTTGTTTGTTTGTTTTGGCACCGAGGATCGAACTCGGGCCCTTGTGATCCTCCTGCTCAGCTTCCTGAGTAGCTGGGATTATATGCACATTTTGCATAGTTTCATTGTTTTCTATACTACATTGTATAATTGCTAAAAGAAAAAAAATGAGATATTACCAATTTTCAGAAGCTTAAAAATCTCTTCATGACTAAATGAAAAACAACCACGATAAACATTTAACATTAAAACAAGGTCCCCTTCCTACTTACCTTATATGCAAGCACGACAGCATGGCAGTGGTGCCCCCACCAAACACCCACACGGTAAAAAACACAATCAGAAGTGTGGTGCTGAACATCATTTGTCGTGCATAAGTGGCAGTATCTCGAATGGCCAAGGCAAATGCCATTGCACCACGAAGACCTACAAGGGAATCGAGGAGGTATTTTTTCAGTAACTCAGCACTGATGTAAGCTTCATCAATTCAGATAAAAAGCATATTCTACAAACTCAGGAGCAGATGAACAAATACGAACTAAATATTAAGATGCCTAAATATATAAAGAGTAATAGAATTAGTATATGATACTGACTTGCATTGATCTTTTGAAAATTCTTAAAAATGTATTTGTTAATTTGTGTAATAGAATTTGCTTACTGAAGTATGGTTCCAGGAGTTATTACAATGCAGAGGGTCCAAACACAGAACACTTTCATCCTCCCCCAGAACCCTTTGTGCTACCCGCTTTTAGTCCATCCTCTTCCTCACCCTGTCAAACCCTTGGCAACCCTTAATCCTTCATCACCACCATATTGTCTTTCGAAGAATGTAATATAAATGGAACCATACAGTGTATAATATTTGAGACTGGCTTCTTTCATTCAGCATCACACCTGTGACAGTCATCCCTGTCACTGTGTGGATAGCTTGTTCTTTTTGGTGCTGACCACTATTGCACGGTGTGGATGTACCAGTTTGTTTCTCCACTTTCCTGTCAAAGACACACAAGTGGGTTGCTTCTAGGTTTCTGGCAGTGATAAATAGAAGCGCTATAGACATTCACTTACAGACTTTGTATAAAAACACATTCATCTTTATCTTCCTTTATGTGACTTTTTTTGTGAGGGTTGAGACAGGGTCTCAACATGTAGTTCAGGTTGGTCTTGAACTCATTACATAGCTCAGGCTGGCCTCAAACTCATGGCGATTCTCCTGCTTCAGCCTCCCGAGGGCTAGGATTACATATGACATATTTCTGAGTCGAGGATTTGGAACCAGAACATGAAAAAATCCCCCAAAAGGAAATGGAACTTTTTGTTGTTGTTGTTGTTTTTACAGCACTGGAGATTGAGCCCGGGGCTTTTGCATTGAGCTACATCCCCAGCCCTTTTTAAATTCTGAGACAGGGTCTCACTAAGTCACTAAGTTGTCTAGGCTGGGCTCAAACTTGTACTCTTCCTGCTTCAGCCTCCCAGTGCTGGGATTTCAGGCAAGAGTTAATACATCCAGCTGGGAATGTGACACTGTAAGCAGAGTTTTTTTTCTATTTCAGGGAGCAGTGTCAGTGTTTCAAGGCCTCCTATGTTAGCAGCATAACATTTCAGTTTCAAATCCTATAAAGTGGCATATGTGTTGTGAATGTTTTCTTGGAAGTTATAACTTACCAGCAAACATCATCATATGTTGAAAATTTGATCCAATCTTACTTCTTCTACCCAAATTAAGTAAGAGAGACAAGGGGTAAATATTGGCAGCTCTTCCCAAGAATATAGCAATCTAAAATTATTAATAGGTTAAGGAACTGGTTTTTTGTTTGTTTGGTTGGTTGGTTCTTTACAATTATTTAGACTAGGCACTCAAGTAACTGGCAAGACCCTTCCAGAGATCTGTTTTCAACAGTCTCTCGATTCCAATGTCTAACAGCACTATCTAATAGAACTCGCTGCAATGGTGGAAATTTTCTGTATCTACATTGTCCAATACTATATCGTAGGCACCTGAAATGTGGTTAGTGTGACTGAGGAACTAAAATTTTAATTTTATATCATTTTAGCTTAATTAAATTTAAATAATCACACATGGCTAGTTGCCACCAAAGTGAACAGTAAAGGTCTAATACATAGGAAACTCATTTGATCAAAAGAGAGGTTTAAAAGCAGGCTTTCTTTACCATAGTTTTTACTTACTTATTTATTTATTATTTTTGATACTGGGGATCAAACTCAGGACCTTGTGCCTGTAAGGCAGGCAGCGGAACCACTGAGCTAAATCCCCAGGCCTACCATAGTTTTTAGACGACAGTCATACTTCGGTACTCCTCAGTAATTGGTTCTGGAACACGTGCTGAAACCAATGAATATCAAAAGGATTTTTCCACATAAGAAGTTCCATAATTAGAAACAATCTGTGTTGAAAGTTCTGGGGATTTTACTGGGCTAACATTAACCTTTTACTGGGCTAACAGAAGCCTTTTGAGCTAAGTGGTATCGCTCTTAACCTTTCTGTGACTCAAATGCACAAAAGCACAAGACATTAAGGAGAACTAGGTGGGGTTTCTGCGCTGTTTACGAGCTATCCTGAGATAGACACAAGAGCTGAGCACAGAAAGCAGCAAGTACAGTACTGGATCTGACAAGTTCGGAACCAATGAGTACTGAGGCATGACTGTGTTAATAGGCTAACTCTTCTCACTTGTCTGTGTTGATAAGAAGAAAGTAATGCCAGATAATCTTCCCCTTCCTTCCTCAGAACAAAGAGGGCAGGCAGCTCAGCCACCTCATGCCCCTGAAATTCCTGCGAGCCCGGATGGGTCCCAGGAGTCTACACCTTGAGCCTGCTGCAGAGGACAGGCTTAATGTGAATTCAGATGGCTCTAACTAGAAACCAAACTCAGAGTCTTTTCCTTCATTTGCTATCTGTACAAACTCCTTACTTATAATTACGTCTTTAAAAAATTTTAGGGGTCACAAAACAGACCCACTCCATTTCCTGAAAGACATATTAAGGGAAATCTAATATGAAAAATAAAACAAATGTGGTGGAAACAGAGCTAGCCAAGTAACATCGGGAGAGAGCATGGTTTATAAGTCTAAAGGCAAAAGGACCAGCACCTCAGGATTTGATGCCCGTTGATAAACTTATTCCCCATGGGAATATAAGTTAACAGTTCTGATACTGTCATACGGTCATGTACCAAATAATATTCTGGGCAATGATAGACACTACATATCATGGTAGTCCCAAAAGACTATTGGTGCTAAAAAATTCCTACTGCCCTGTGAAACTATAGCCATCATAACGGCGAAGTACACTGTGTCGCTCATGTGTTTGTGGTGGTACTGGTGATAAAAAAAAAATCTACTGTGCTGCCAGTCATATGAAAGTATGGCACTCACCATTATATAATACTTGATAATGATAAGAAATGACAGTGTCACTGGTTTATGTATTTACTATACTTTTTAACATGAGAATGTACTCCTATTTACAAAACAAAATCTTTACCATAAAGCGGTATGCTGTGTCTCATATATCTCATGTTTCCTGAGTCAAGCAAGAGGCCACATCTAACAACTGACAGGTACCATCCAGGGTTGTTTAAACCGTGACAAAATTGCCTGATGACGCATTTGTCCTAACATATCCCCGCCCGTAAGTGATGCATGATTGCACATGTGCACTAGAAGCGAACAATATGTAAATGGACGCCGCATGATAGGAGCCAGGTTTCTCACCAATGGAGTGGGAGTTAACAGATCAGCAAGGGAAGGAGGTCAGAATGATGTGTGTGGTGGTGGATAACAGGCATTGGTATGAGTTCGTGTTTAGCTTAATGGAGGTACAGATGGTTACACATAGAGAAGTATTTATATGGGTAGACAGATATATGTGACCTGGGACAGACATGTATATTTCCTTGTTCTGTCAGCTGAGAGGGCCTAGAAGGATACCTGGTAGCCCTGAGCACACCCAGTGCTCAGAACTTGGTTTCCAGCATCATCCTCCAATAAAAGGAACCAGGGCTCCTTAACAAGTGTCCAAGTCTCAAGTTGAGAGAAAAAATACACAAAATGAACCTGAAGCATCCTGTAGTTCCATAGTAAGAGGTACTCCAAAAACAATAAAGGAAACAGAAGCAAAACCTACAATGATAGGCTATGTCAAGAGGACACTGAAAGTGCTCCCAATGGCAAAAACTGGAATAGTCTGAGCAACAAATGTTAAAAAGTTGTATATTATAATTTAAAGTATAAGATAATTACCAATGAATCCACATTGATATAAATAAATGAATAAAACCACAAATGGGTAGAACAGATGTCTCTTGTGTAAAGGATTCAGAGTAATTGTGCACATAGTCTGTTTTTGAGGTGAAACCTAACTCCCCACTCCCTATAAAGCGGACTGCATGAGGTGGCTTCTCTCCAAGCAACACATTACAGGGAAAAAAAAGAGTAACTTTCTAATGGGGAAACCTGACAAACACTAATTTAGCCAAGTGAGATAGAAGTGCACCAACATTAGCATAGCAATAAACATGTACCCTTGCTACGATATGCTAGGAATGGCACTTTCATTTCTATAGCGCTTCTCCCAAAGAATACACAAACCTAATCTCACTACGAGAAAACATCAGACAAATTCCAACACCACATCAGTACCTCTCAAAACTGTCACAGGTCATCAAAAAGAAGGGACAGATGAGAAACTGTCACAGTTAAACAAGAACCTAAAGCTACATGACAACCAAGTGTATGTAGGGTCCTGGATGGGACGCTGGGACAGAAAAAGGACGTGAGGGGAAAATGTAGGAATCCAAATAAAACATGAGGGCCAGGGATTTAGCTCAGTGGATCTGGCGCCTGCCTCACAAGCAAGTGCAAGGGCCTGAGTTCGATCCCTGGTACCAATAAACAAACAAACACACATGAACTTCAGTAAATAATAATAATACAGCAATATCAAATCATTTGCCTTGACAAATGTATCATGCTAATGCGAGGTACTAGTCATAGGGGAAACTGGGTGTGGAGTATATAAGAAATTTCTATATTCACAATTTTTTGTGTAAATCTAAATGTATTCCAATATTTAAAATTTTATTTAAAACACTGATTCCTTACCAAAAAAGCAAACAATAAAAGGCTTATGGGTCAGAGTGGCAGCAATTGTTAGCGCCCCCAATATCTATTCTTTCTTTCTTCTGTAGTAGTAGGCACTCCTCCCTCCTGACCATGATTTTTATTTGGGTATACAACACCCAAATAAAGAGTATGTTTCCCAGCCTCCCTTGCGGGTATGTATAAGTAGTGACATTACGTGCAAGTGAGGTGCACATATTCTAGGTGATGTCCTCACAGCTCTGGGGCCAACCCAGCCACCATGGACACAAGAAAAAGGGCAGCTCCTTCAGGAGAGTAGCACCAGGATTGCCTGGGTCCCTGAGACTGTGGAACACAGCTCTCACACAAGCTTGGGCTTTTACACGACAAACTTCTCTCTTGGGGTAAACCTGGGTTAATCCGAGTCTTCATCATATGAAACCCTCATGAATACAGACAGAAAGAGAACAACTCTCTTTTGTTAAGAGTTAATTTTCAGAGTTTTTTTTTAATGAGAAATTTCAATTCCAAACAAATTTGGAAAACCTAAGGAGAACAATTAACCTTGTTTTCAGATTAAATACAGTTGGTCAAGCCACTTTTCTGCCCCCAAATTTCTCAAATAGCTACAGAATTTGAACTTACTGACCTCAGGTGGCCTTTCCGTTAATGTTCCTCCATTTTCTGCCTGAAGACTATAGAATAGTATTTCTTCAGTATCTCACTTCCTAACATAGAGATCTTATGTACAGTTTTATTTTTAAAAATTTCTACGAATTTCCTTGGAAGACTCTGAGGTCTTTTTAAAAAACACTTGTTCAAACATTCATCTCTGACCACGGTCATTCCATCCATATCTCACATTCATCTACCTCATTGTGGTCATTCTTCTACCACACCAGGACCTCCAGTCCAAAAATGGTTTTGCATTTTCCTCAATTAGCCTTCCCCTTTCTTCACTTCCTTCTGATACACATGCTAGTAATACTCTAAAATCCTACATTTTCTTTGCCCTCAGTCTTCACTGAATCAATTTGACAAAACTCCAAAGCTGGCTGACCCAACTGTCTCATTTCCCCATGCTCATAACTACATCCTCCAGCCAAACTTACACAATAAGGCAGCTGGTTCTACCACTAATACCTAGTCCTCAAACTCAAAAGGCCCACCAGGTTGACTCATACTTTCTTACCCTCTGCAACTATTTCATAAACCTCCACTTTCCTCAAAAGTCCCATCACCTGTGGAAGCCAGCCACCAAGATGGCTCCCCATGATCCTGGACGCCTAGTATTCATAACCTTGTGTAGGCCCACTTACACCATACTAGAGTTGGGCTGTGTGACCAACAGAAGTCTGCCACGTTCAAGATTAGGTTATGGAAGTCACTTTGGATTCCACCTTGGTGCTCCCTCAGCTACCTTGCTGTGGCAGAAGCCATGGAGTGGGCTGCCCTATAGAAGGCTCCCTGTGGAACACATGAGCCTCCTGCTGACAGCCAGGTGAGTGAGCTTGAAGTAGATCCTCGGCATTCGTCAATTTTTAAGTGGTTCTCCCAGCCATCTCCTGAAGGGTTCTGCAGCCAGAACTACCAAGCTAGGTTTTCTAGGATTCCTAATCCTCAAAATTCCTGTGAGGTAAAGAACACTTGCTGTGTAAAGCTGCTAAGATTTAGAGCAATTCATAACAGAATAGACAACTGCTACACCCATTTCACTCTCAGCAGCTGATCTCACCTCCTCCTTTACAGATTAAAAACAGAAGCAATCAGCTAGATGCTCCATTGTACAGGACCCCTTCCTCTCCACAAATCCCATCCTCTTCTGTTAACAATGGAGGTCAATGACCCTCCAGTGCTTTGGATTCTCCCTCTCCTGGACTTCTCATGAGTTTCACACTATGAACAGCTCACACACTCAGCTTCTTTTTAATTGGTTTGTAAAGACTCAACTCACTCACATCAAAGAGAGGGGAAGAAGGGAAAGACAGTGACCTTATGCAACCCCTCCTCATCTTTTACGTCCTGCTCTATGGCAAGGACTGCTAACTGCTCACCCATATTCATGCTCTCCTTCTCCTTAGTAACAGAGGACACTTTTATCTTTGGGGGTTAGCAGAATAAGAAGAGACATTTCTGTCATTTCAATCTGTCAACCTATGTGTGCAATAAACAGAAATAAAAATAGCACAGAATAAAATCGAGAAGAACACAAAAAGAGTTGAGATCCTTATTTGCTTTACTCTGAGGAAAACTGAACATATTTAAATGTATTCCTATTACCCCACCCACCAAACCATGTGAAAATCTCAGTTAAATCAGTTTTTACAGAACACATGATAAAGGATACAAATGCTCCTAATACAAATGTTGGGTTAAAGACATGGTTCTGGAAGGTGAAGAGTGTGAGCCCCATGTAGGAGAAGATGAAATTCTCTGCCAAGAAATTGAGAAGCTCAAACAACTGAAATGAAATTTTAAAAGATTAGTCCAGTAAATAAAGTTATACAATTTGAAAATGTACCAAGATAATGAAACAGACACTTCAAATTCACAAAAATACGTGACTCAGAGGGAGCAAATGTAGAGATGACATTTCCAGTCCCCCAGAAAGAGCCAAAAACGTTGCCCCCTCACTTCCCCCAATCAGCCTCTTCTCCAAATCCCCACTTTCAGTCATCTTTCTCCTCCTCCTCTTCCAAACCCTGTTGGTTTTTCTTTTGGAATCTTCCTGTGGCCCTGTCACTGCCCTAATCTAGCTTTCATCACTTTTCACCTAGAATACTGCAAGAGGACCCTCACTGGTAGCCATGACACTCCTCATTTCCCACTTCCCACATGATGAATCACTCTGAAAGTGGCAGTTTCGAGATACTTCCCTGTCTACAAGCTCTAAGATCCAGCTTAACTTCTTCCACCTGGCAGAGTGCTTCGTGACTGCTCGCACATCACTGACTTACTTGCCACTGACTTCACTTTTGCCATGAGTCTTAGACCTTGCTTCACAATGAAACCTCCTACGGACAGGGCCCGTGCACCACAGTCTTGCACTCAGTGACCTCCATGCTGCTGCCTACCAGCCCCACCACGTTCACACCACTACCTCCCCAGGTGTCACTAAGAACAGGTACGAGACATGTTGAGTACATGTGGGAAAGGCCCTCCATCAGTTTCCCAGAGTCCTCTGGTCCACAATAACGTGAAGGAGGTTAAGAACATGGGCTCCCGAGTCAAAATGCCTAGGCTTGAACCTTGCCTTTTCTACTTCTTAGCTGTGTGGCTTTGGGCACATTAATTGATCTTCTTAAAGAAGAATTGGGTCATTATCAAAAATAACAATAAACATTAAAATAAGTATACTTACTTTTCTTTGACTCATTTAATATGCTACTGCTCTTACTTAATAATAACTACAGTATGTCTAGTTTAGACTATGTGCCTAATAGTAGACTAAGGATTTACACACTTATTTTAATTTTGCAACACCACCATGAGGTAGGTACTATTATCATCTCTTATTTACTTTTCTTTGAGGTACTTGGGATTGAACCTAGGGCCTCACACATGTTAGGGAAGAGCTATGTGATCTCTACCCCTAGTGCCCACCCCTCAAGACAGAACCTTATTATGTTGCCCAGGCTGGCCTGAACTCCTGGGTTCAAGCAATCCTTCTATCTAGGCCTCCAATATAGATGGGACTAAAGGTGTGCACCACTGTGCCTGGCATTCTATTTTAAAGATGGCAAAGGCTGATGGCCACAGCAGGCATGGTGCCACATGCCTTTAATCCCAGCACTCGGGAGGCTGAGGCAGGAGGATCACTGTGAACCTGTCTCAAAAAACCAAAAAAAAAAAAAAAAAAA